ACCAACCATGGAACCCCACCCACCGCCAATACGACCAAACTTTGAGGGTATGGGTAACCGACTGTACCAGAGCGGATCTTCGAGATATGGAGATCTTACTGATTTTATGGATTCGGATCGCATTGACTTCGCTGGGCCATCGACCTTGCCGCAGCAGGAAACACGACGGCACCCAGCAAGAGAAAGGAGAGGACGGGGATGCGGAACTGGGGGTCATTATCGGGTTCCGGGGGATCACTGATGTATCTTTTTTTTTCCCAAGTTTTTGTTGTATCCATTTTTTTTACTGTTCTTTTAATGTAATACAGTTGAATGAAATTATTTTTTTTTTATAAAAAGTCCATTTTGTTGATCTCTGTCCAATAGGCAACGCACAGGAAAAAAAACAAAAAAAAAATTTTTTTGCCCTAAAATTGTACATAGGCGCCATCTCACTTGGCTTAGGGCATGCCCTAAGCACTTAGGCGCCAAGTGAGATGGCGCCTCCCTTGAAAAAAGAGGTGCATGCGCCATTTGAGATGGCTCCTCCTTTGTGGAGCCATCTCAAACATGGTTATTTGCGTAATTTTTTCCGAAACCCTGTTATTTGCGAAATATTTTTTTAATACATGGTTATTAATAAAAAAAATTCTAGTTTAAATAGGCAACTTTAATCTTTTTCTTAATAACTAAAATAAACTTAGAACTAGATTTTTTTCTTCTTTTAATTCCTTTTGTTTTATTTTCATTAAAAACATAAAAACACAAAAATATCATTTTCTTAATTAATTAATTAATTAGTTATTAGTTTTAATTTCATTAATTACAAAAAAGGACAAAAATTCAATTCTTTCTTAAAATAGGGTCAAAACCCTTAGGACGTTCCCGATTAAATTTCTATTCGTGTGTATTTATTTATTTTGATTATATTTATGTATCTGTACAGAGAATGTAATAGTTAATTAGGATCTTTTACCGTTTTCTCGCACTTTACTTTCCAAACGGGTTTGTTTTTTTGGCGATGTATATACCCTCGCCTTGTAATAGCTAGATTTACATTTCTGCAATTTATTTTCCGCACTCCTAACTGCTAATATACCTGCAAGAATGTATGTAAAATAAAATTAATCCGTAGCTCACAAATAACATGTACAAGATAACATTAACTGAAAAACAACACACAAAGCACATGCCACTTCTAGGGTACGCCTCACTGGTTGCCTCGAACGTGGTCATCAAGTATAGGGTGTCTTGGAGGTCGCCCTTCTGTCTAAAGATCCAGTCGCCTCGAAACAGTTGCCTCGGATAAAAAAGGATCTAGGATATTAGGGTTACTTCTAAGGTGTCCTACCATTGCTTCGGTGACCACACTGTCCCGATAATCGAATTGACCCGAACACCTCCAACGATGGTGCTACCTACCTCTCAATGGTGGGATGGCACTATCTAAAGGACTCTTACACATCTTAATTCCTTAGAGTAGGTAGATTTATCTTAAGTACTTGCTCTTTTCAAAACAAACAAAAACATCTTTTCGCACCTACACTTTCAAAAGTTTTCAAACAAATTTTTCATACACTCTTGAGGACAGATACAAGAGTTACTTAGAAATTTTTCAAACGAACTTTTCCAAAACCCACACACACTTGAAAAGCAAACAAAATTTTGAAAACATAAGAGCAAGTACCTAAGAGCCCGTGGATAACCACGGATAGAAAGGGTGCTAACATCTTCCCTTTCTATAAATCTACCTCCCGAACCGAGAACATTCTCGAATAAGGAATTTTGCTGTGCTTTTGTCCTTTCCATGTTGGAGAATATAAAAGACGGTGGCGACTCTTGCTTACCGCGACATTTCGCGAAACCAGCTAAAAAAGAGTCAGTTCTATTTCCACCGATCACAGCTAGGTTCTTCCCAATACCGTCACCGTCAATCCTGAGATTGCCTCTTGGCTAGGTTCCCCCTTAGATCACCTTCTTAGAACCTGAGATCGCCTCTTGGCTAGGTTCTTCCCTCAAATCATCGTCAAACCTAAGATCTCCTTTTGGCTAGGTTCTTTCTATATTTTGTCTTAGAACCTGAGATCGCCCATAGGCTAGGTTCTCTGTCAAATCACTCTCATGTGTCACCTTAGGATTGTAGGTCACCCGTATACCTCGCTCGCAGTCTTTTCATACCAACCATTTGTCTTATATTGGCATCAAGCCACGTTACAAGTCCAATATTTGTCTCTTCATTTAAAAAACAAATCTCTTTTCCCCAGCAGATAACACAAAAATAAATAAAGAAAACACTTACTCTTCCTCTCAGGATAAATTTTTGGCATTGATATTTAATCATCTTCAACCTTGAACTTCCGAAAGGCATGTTCCAATCGTACTTTCAGGTTTAAGACGATTAAATAGGGCCAGTTGTAACACCCCAAATTTGTCCTACCCTTCTAATTTTATATGGTTTATGCATTGTCGCGCTTTTCTCATGTACATATCTCTATTAGGTCATTTAACATTGCATACATTCGCTAACAACATAACTTCACAAGGGGTCGAGAACCTTCAGGATTAGGGTTTTATCAACTGGCTAAGGTGTATATGTTCAAATAGAGCCTGATTCTTCTGGTTATTTTTTAAGGCAGTGAAATTGCGGAATTAGGGTTTTGTGTTCATGGATGTTGTGGATATTTTCTTCATCAAACTACAAGGTCATCCTCAATTAAGAATTCATCAAACACAAGTTGATTAGGGTGTCACATCTTCTATGTTGGAATTTGTAGTATCTATCGACTGAGGTTCATTGGGCTTCATATTACGTTTCTTTATATACTTCGAAGCGCCCTCAAGACATTGTTGTTGTCCATGAAGTCAAGATATAGTGTGGATTGGATTTTAAAATGCAAGCCGTGTATATAGCATGAAGTTGTAAGTACATTGAGTTCGCAACTTCATCGTTCTTTCGAATACTTGTTACCTCAATCGCAAGTAACTTGGATTACTGATGATTATTGAATTGGATTCGTTGAAACTTCTAATTAGGCTCAAGATTGATATTAGCTCAAGGTTTCAATTTCGTGATTTGGCAATGGTTTATTCAAGATAAGGTTGGAAGATTCGTCCATGTGGTTCTCTTGGTGGGAAAGTTATAAATTTACAAAGAATCATAAGTCATAACATCATTCAAGGTTAATCAACTAGTTTTGTTCATCAAAACTCATCAAGATCCAAGGGTTCACGTTCATTCGATGATATGATCTTTACAAGTTCTAAGCATTACGCATGATTTGTCAAAGGGTTATCCAAATTCATTCTCGTTCATTCGAGGTCATATCCATGCAATTTACAAGCTGTGTCATTGGAACATTACAAGAGAAGATTACAAAGGCCATTTACATCCAAGATTACTAAATCAAAACAAGAATTTACATTAAATCTTCAAGTGGTCTAAAGCTAAAGAATTCTAAATCGAGGTCTCCATCATTCATTTCTAAACTTATTCATCTTCAAGCCATTATCTTCTAACGTTGCTTTATTCCAACTTGGTTATATCCAAGCCTTAGTCCATGCTTCATGCCAAAAGAAAACCTGCATAAATGACCATTTTCCAAGCAAGTTCAGTGCCAATGTATAATCAAGTTAATTCAATTTGAAGTACAAAAACCAGAAATTACACCAAGTGTTATGTACTTAAATCAAACCAATTTATCACATTCATAACACATACACTACACTCTTAACCAATTCCATAACAGCCCCGTAACTGTACTAACTGAATTCTAGCTTTTTTTTAAACTACTTTCCAACCTCTAATCACTAATAGAAACTACATTAGAAAAAGCCCATAACAGATTTACAAACAACAAAACCATTTCCTAACTCCAACACTATCAAACAGAATAATAAACCAACTAACTGTCAAACAAAATAACAACTTCCTAACCATTTTTCCCCATTCCTCAACCGTTTCTAACTACCTAACAACCCTAAGCCTATAACCAACCCATAGCATATTTGCAACCAACCTCCACATAACTAACAGGATATAAAAAATTGGCTCACCTTGATTCAGTCGATATTCTAGATTTTCTCTCCCACACCATAACCTCCACCTTCACTTCTGAACTTCCTTCTTCACCCTTACTCTACTCTCTCACTTTTTCTGCATTCATTATTTAATTTTCACAAGTACCATAGAAACTCACCAAAGAAACTCACCATAAGATTGCCCCTCTTCCTCTCTGAATCGGGAACATGATTCATCATCACCATTACCTATATTCACCCTCGAATCAACTTTAAGTGTTCATGACCTTCATCAGCAGTCTGCAACATCAACCTTCGCACATCATCAATCATCATCATCACGCATCATCATCTTTGAACAACCTGAAAATCCTTCTCAGTGTTTCTTAAACGCAACAACCGCACCAATCTGCACATGTATCGGGAAGCTCAGAGATCCGAAACTCGAAATCACAGAGTGAGCGAAAGAAAAACAGAAGAGAGCAAACCATAAAATAGAAGGGAAGGCTTTGAGTTAATACTTTCACCGAGAAAATCACAGGAAAAAAGATCCAAGAACTCACCATCAAAAAATAATCGTAAAGAATCTCTGAAGAATGACATGAAACTCAGAGCTCTTAATTTCTCTCACAGCGCACATCTTTTCCATTTACTTCTGCAAGCCGTTCGTCATCATCTTCAAATTGCATCCATTCTTCTGTAAATTCCCTGATTTACAATAACAACATCAACAATACTACAGAAGAAAATGCAACCACCTTCAATCTTCATCTTCTTGTATCATCACCATCATTCAATCATCAACTATGTGTTCATCAATGTCTTCGACGCAACGAGTCATCTACAAGGCAGCAACGACTTCAATCATCAATTAATTTCAAGAACAGTACATCAACGATTAACACGAAACACAAATGGGGAAACGAAATCCAACCTGAGGCGTGAGCAAAGACGGTGATGAGAAAATAAAGCGATTTCTTGAACAATCTTCTCTCGCAATCCCGATGGCTTCCTCTCTTGGAGTCAAGCGATCTCTCTCCTCCGCCCTTCTTTCAAGATCTCTCCTTTGCCCCGTCGCCTCTTTCAACACCAACGCCATACGCAACTACGATCAACACTCTGATGACCGTAACGTTGATGTCGATCGCTGCGCTTTCCCTCGCACACGCCGCGATGATCTTCTTCTCTCAGATGTGTTCGATCCGTTTTCTCCACCACAAAGCTTAAGTCAAGTCCTAAACATGGTGGATTTACTGACGGACAATCCAGTCCTTTCTGCTGCTTTGTGACGCGGATGGGATGCGAGAGAGATAGAGGATGCTCTACTTCTTCGTTTGGATATACCTGGACTCGGTAAGGATGATGTGAAGATCTCCGTGGAACATAACACTCTTATTATTAAAGGTGAAGAAAGTGGTCAAGAAAGTCAGGAAAGTGGTCGTCGATTCTCTAGCAGAATTGATTTATCGGATAAGCTTTACAAGAATGATGAGATTAAAGCTGAGATGGAAAACGACGTGCTCAAGGTTATTGTGCCTAAGATGAAGGAACAAGAAAGGAACAATGTTATTAACGTCAAGGTTAACTAGATTAATATCAAATTTTTCTCGTTTTTTCTTTATCTACAAGCTCACGAATCTTCATATTGATGGATCTAGATTTGAACAAAAAAAAAAGCTATGGATTGTTGTTGATGGACAATGGGCCAAACCACTTTCTGGGCCCATTTTCATTATTTTTTTGCTAGTGTTACAAAAAAGTCTTATAAAATCAATACCATGGGCCTAGCGCCCAGGGCCTTAGTGTCTCATATCACCAGCACTCCCATACTGACTTTATACCTCCCTGATTCCTCTATTGTTAGATTTAAGACTTTCTTTTAGTTTTTTAGTGATAAAAATGATACAAAAAATATTAGGACATTTTAGAATTCTTTAGAATCGCTCTTTAGAATTTTCATTAGAATTTTCTATTGTTTTCATGTTTAATAATCTTGTTTATTATCATTTTTTAGCCAATATTTTGTGATATTATATTGATATAACTTTCACAATATGGAATGCTTGGAGGATAATTCTTTGATCACTCGCGCAGAGCAGTTTCTGTAGATTTTTCTTATCGCTTGCGTGGCTTTAAAGAGGTAACGAACTTTCCTCGTTTGGTATCATCGTGACTTTATTTTATTCTTCATTCTCGCACTTTACCGCTTTCTAAAAATCATGAGAATCAGGGCTTTACTGCAAGCTATACATGCTAACATTAGGTAGATTTTTCCCTTTCATTCATCCCTGACTTTAGGTCTAACAGCGCATGATAAAATTAGGTTTCGAAACAAATTAGTCTCCCTGTGACTTTTCTTCCCCGTTTGCATTCGCATTTAAAACAAAAACTTCTTTTTCTTTCAAGATTTAAAACACTTTAAAACTACTGATGAGAATCATGCCTTTGCTTAGTATGGGAAATCATAAGCGGGTCCCTTCTCGATCTTATTGTTCTTCATCTCAAGTTTAGGTGTGGTTTAATTCTCAAAGACTCCTTTCATGACTAAGTAGAAAAGCGACTAATATCTCTCTCTTGAGGTCAACTAGTCGTTATCTACAACGAAATACAAACCAACTCAAACCATTTGTGCGTTCGAGCACCTTTCTTTAAAATCCTTTTCAGGTAAAGACATGATTAATTTAATTCTGTGCCAACACATAAGTCTCCAAAGGTCGAGCTGCGGCAGAAGGCGGAGTTAACTTCGTCCACAAAAAACACAAACAAACAAAACATATGAGCCGAACTACAGTAGCTCTGATTCCTCAAAACGGATACGTAGGCATTGGGGTAGGGCCCAAGCGAGCATAATTTTATTTTCCCTACATATTTTCTCCTTTATTTTGCATACATTCCCTTTAGTAGTATAGAAAACAGTAAGCGTAGATTGAACACACCAATAAGACAGATAACAAGAGTGGATACCGTAGAGTACTACGGGCGTGTGGGGTGCTAATACCTTCCCCTCGCGTAACAGACTCCCTTACCCGATCTCTCGGTCGCAAGACCGTGACTTCTCCCTTCTCAGGTTTTCTCGATGTTTACCTTTCCCTACATATGGGATAAAAGACGTTCGATGGCGACTTCATTGTTTTGATGATTTTCAGCCGGTTGTTTCAGTACTTAAGAACTGTCTACCTACTCGAAAAAGGATGTTCTTTTCCTCCTACCCTTTAGATAGTGTCATCCTACTATTAGTGAGTAGGTAGCCCTATCGTTGGATGTTAAGGGACTATCGAAAGGGACATTATGATCATTGAAGGCAACATGTAAGGATACCTTAGCATTCCAAGGGACTGTCATCATATAGGCAACATCGAGGTACAAGATCATTTCTTGTAGGAAACTCGAGGGAGAGTAAGGGACTATGATTTTTATGATGACTTCTAGATTGAGGGTCTTTGCTAAGATATCCCCACGTTCGAGGGAAATGACCACTGTTTTCCGAGGCAACCAAGTGAGGAATACCCTAAGGATGCAAGTGTGAGAAGTGTGTTTTTTCAGTTATTTTTTGTCTTTTTGTTAGGTTAGCTAACGTTTGATTATTAGTCTTTCCATACACGCCTAGTTACTAACAGTAATATATACAGAAAAATAAAATGTGGAAAGTATAAATCTAGACTATTACATGGCTTCGGGGAGGGGGATTTACATTCCAAAGCAATTGGGGAAAAGAAAATAAAGCAATAAAAAGAGTCTACTTATTATCTATTACATCCCATATAGCAATTACAATAATATAAACAATGTGAAAGGAAATAAACGTGCGAAAAGTTGAAAGTACGTCTGAAAATATAAAAGAAAATCTTTTTGTTGTTGGTTTTTATTTATTTAAGAAAATAATTAAATTAATATGTCCTAAAATTACTTAGAAAGATAAAATTTAATTAAGAACATATCTAAGGTTTTATTATAATTTATTATGAAAAAAAATATTAAAAAAAAGAATTAAATACTAAGTCTAAGTAATTTTAAATTTAAAGAAAATGGTCAAGATAAATATTTAATTTAATTACAAAAATAGTTTAATTAAAAAAATAACTTAATATTTTTGTGATTTTTTTTGAATTTTATGGTTTTTTAAAAAGGATTTTTTAAAATAATAAACAAAATAAAAATAAAAATAAAGAAAATAAGCAACATGGGCCTGGTGAGGATGGCAAACACTTTAGGGAACCTCCAGGAGTGTATTTTGATCTTTAGTTTAGGCTGAAACAAGCTAGAACATGAAATTCGAATTCTACAATTTGATACTTTTTTGTAAAATGGACAGGGGTTCTCCAGGCTCCATGTGCTTCTTTGATGCTTGCTAATGCCTTCTTTATATAGAGAGGAGTGAGGAGACATGAAAAGTAATGCTTGTAACAACCATAGAAAAACATTTGAATGCCATGAATACAAATATGTAACCTTGGCTAAAAGTGTTGGATCTTGTCTATTTTTCAAACTTGCATGAATACGGACATGCTGGCCTTGCTGTACACGAAAATTGGGACCCCTCCATGCATTAAAATAAGTCTTAACCATATAAATTGTAATAATCTTGATTTATTTGATTTTTAATTAAATAAAATTAATATAAAAAGCAAATAAAATCAAGACTATGCAAAAAAGGTTTTAGGAGTCCTCTATACTCTTAGGAAGATGTTTGAAGTCCAAAACAATGAGCCATTGCCTTAAAAGCTCAAATTTTCTCAATGCATATTTCTTGAAATTTCCCAAATTTTCCCAACTTGGGCAAGCTATAACTTGCTCAATTTTTATCTCATGATGATGATCTTGGACTTTTTAGAAAGACCAAGATGTCTACTTCAATCCCTCATTTGATCAATTTTGCATTTGAATATGTTATCTTGATGTTAAAGGTCTTGGAAAAGTGGCTTTTATTGACTTTCTAAAAATGACCTGTAATGTATGAACTTATATCTTTCAAATGGTGCATTTCTTGGACTTTAGGGATGAAGAGAAGTTGTAGGGTATTGAATTATCTTCAAAATGAGATTTGGTTGGAAAATTTATGATAAAGTATGAGAAAGTTATGCTTGGTCAAACTTTGGTTGACTTTTCCTATAGAAACCCTAATTTGCCATTTTTGACTTTTGATGGGTTAGGAGCATTTCTTGAAGAATACTGATCAACCCTTGATCAAATGATGGATATCACTTCAAAATGTTGATGTTGACCAAAAATCTTGAAGTTTGACTGTACATGAGTCACAATTGACTTTTGATCTAGCATAGTTGATTTTCCAATACTTGAGCAATTGACTGAGAAAACTTATTGTTCAAGGCATGAAATTTGGCATGGCTCATCTTGAGGACATATTAGGACAATGGAGAAAATTTGGGATCCTTGAAGCTCAACCATCTTGATGAAAATTGAAACCCTAGTTGGGGGTTCATTGCCTTAGGTAGAGAATTGTCTGGTCGATTCTTGGTCAATCTTGAGCAATTTGGGGACCTCAATGGGCATGTGTTGAATAAAATAAGAGGGAAAATTTTGGGGTACAACATCTGCCCCTGTTCAATCTTCTTAGACTTGAGGATGTAGATTGGCTAGTCTACCTTTCGTGATCTGAAGGTGGAAGATGATTGAACACTAGAGTGCCTAGAAATTTTGCACTCGTTCAAAGTGAGACTGTAGGTGAATAATATCAGGAATGGGATTAAAGATGACATTTGGAAAAGATGACAGAAGAATGACGGAGATTCGTCGGAGATGGGCTTAAAGATGCCATCTAAAATAGATGCTGACTTTGTAAAGAGTCTCTTTGTGGGGATTCCTGTTCCTGCTGTCGGAGGAGGAGTTCGCTGGGGAATGTTTTTTAGGGGAATAGAGTTGAGGAGCTTCGGTTGTACATTAATCTATTGGGGAGTCATCCATTAACTTTAGAGATGGGAGTGAACTGCTATCTAGTCAGGATCCATGCTTCACAGTGACTTGCTGAGGATGATAAGGATGACTGCTATCTGGTCATATTCCAGGCTTCACAGTGACTTACTGGGGAAATGAGATTAAACTACATCTACTCATACTCCATGCTTTGTAGTTTCTCTAAATGGAATATAAATCAGAAAAATCTTAGTGTTGATTTAACCGAATCAGGGAAAGGATCTATCAGAAAAGAATCAGTAATAAATCAATGGTCGATTTAAACTGAACCAGCAGAGGTCTTGATTTATCTTTCACTAGATAAGAATCAGAAAAATCTTAGTGTCAATTTAACTGAACTAGAGAAAGGATCTACCGGAAAAGAATCAGTAACAAATCAATGGTCGATTCAAACTGAACCAACAGAGGTCTTGATTTATCTTTGACTGGATAAGAATCAAAAAAATGTTAGTGTCGATTTAATTGAACCAGAAAAAGGTATTGGGTTATCTTCAATTGTAATAGGAATCAGAGAGATCTTAGTATCGATCTAACTGAACCAGAGGAAAATCTTGAATTAACTTTGCTTGGAACCGAAATCATAAGAATCTTAGTATCGATTCAACTGAACCGCACAAAAGTCTTAGAATATCTTCAACTGGAATAGAAATTAGAGAGA